AAAAAAAAAAAAAACAAGGAAATAAAAAAGAGTATAGATATAATAAATTATCAAAATAAATTTGATATTTAATATTTTGAACTTGCAAATATGATATAATTGATTGATAAGTAATTAATTGTTTTTTAAAAATAGAAAGATATTAATATTTTTAATTAAGTGAAGTAAGAGTAAATTAAAAACATTTTATTCTTAACAATTTTACGATGGTGATCTGAAAATATAAATAATTATTGTTATTATTTTACCTATATGCAAAATCATATGTGTTATGAATTAAAAATAAAAATATAAATCACAAAAATTAAAAAAAATAAAATTTATATTAAATTTAGAATAATACTTATATTATTATTATTATACATTAATTTATATTCAATTTTTAATAACACCTTTATTATTATTATTATTATTATTATTATTATAATTTATTAATTTATATATTAAATTGAAATGACACTTTAATGTTATGAAATTTTCTATTCTTTTATATGCGAGAACAATGTGCATACAAATGCATTATACATTATACATAACCGCGGTCTATTAATTTTATAATTATTTTCAATACGATCGAAATAGATAATGTCAATCCAAAATCATAGAATTTAAGTAAATTTAATAAATAAAGTGAAACACGATTTCAATGCAACGGAATTATACGTAACGAGATATCGTTCGGAAACCGCTTATCCGCATTTAGTTTAACGTGTTACCACCATGCATACACACACAAAATAATATACAAATAAATGTGAGAATAATTGTGTAGGAAAATTCAAATAGAATAATTATTATTATCGATTAATTGTTTTACTCTTACATTTTTAATCAAATCCGTATTCGAAACAAATGGAGAACGTAGTTTCAAATATATCCAAAATTTTTAATAATAATTTTTAACATTTAGTTTTTTATATTTATTTTTATTTATTTTTTTAGTAATAATATTACAATAATAATAATAATAATAATAATAATAATAATAACAGTAATAATTTAAATATGAATATGAATTTTTATATTTTTTTTTTCATTTTAATGCAAATCAAAATTATAATTCTAATAAATTATATTAATAATTAATAATAATAGAGAGTAACTTCTATTGAAATTATAATAGTAAGAACTGACAGCTATGTTGTGTGTTCTCAGTTAACTCGTGTGTTAGTTTCATGCCACGTCGAACCATGTTCAAATATGATTAGGAGAGTATAGCTAGGAAACTTGACACGTTGCATACCCCGTTTTAAGGGCTGGGCCCTTATATTCGGTTACATACGTTCGGTGCCAATAACGACGTACTACTCGTCAACTCGAACGTGGAAAATACGTTTTTAGGGCCTTGACATATCTCCCTTTAAAACGATAATAAATTCACTTTACTTAGATGATTTTATCGTGTCCCTTACAATATCATCTTTTTTTTTTTTTGGTTCTTATTTCTTATCACCCAGAATTATTGTAATTTAAATAATCATTTAACTATCCAATTAATTTATCATAATAATTTATTTATATTAGGAAGACTGTAAAGTAATGTTGTTTCTGTTTATTTAGATAATAATTTATCTATCCAATTAATTTAATAGAATAATTTAATTAGAATTATCTGTTATATTATTATTATATAATAATTTATAATATTGGGAAGACCATAAAGTAATGTTGTTTCCGTATATGTCAATATATTTTGTTTATCATTGATCAAGTCGTTGCATATATTAAAATCGTGTGTCTGAATTTAATGTAAAATAATATTACATTACTATATGGTTCCTTCTTTAATATATAATTATCCAATTATAAATAATTAACTTTTCTTTTTAAATAATTATTAGAACGAATGTTTATTATTCGACAAGACCACGAAGTTTTGTGAAAAAGTATCTGTCCTTAAAAGTATTATAATTCAAAATCTTTCGAACACAATTTAATCAGATTATATAATAATTTTAATTAAATTTTATATAATTTTTATAAAATTATTGTATCAACAAAAATTGTTAATATAACCCAAGAAACAACAATTTCAAACCAATACACAAATCTTTAAAATATAAATAAATCGAATTTTAATATCCACGATTATTATTAACATTCTGTTCAAATTTTGATCCAATTATTGTATCATCATTTAACACGTTTAATTTTTATTTATTATAATTATTTTCTAATTTTATGTTAATTTATTTTAATTATTAATTTTATTTTATTTATTATTGATGAAACATCATTGTTCTGTAATAATAAATTCAATTGGCACGGATTATTATTATTTATTGCAAAATATTGATAACATTATTATTTTGTAATAATAACTAAACGATGATGTAAATGATTAAAATTAAATATTATATAAAATGATTATATATAATATATCTTGTAAATGAAAAATGAAAAAGAATATATATATATATATATAATAATAATAATAATAAGAATTATTCATACGTGTTAAACGTAGGAATATATACGTACGTTGGTGCTGACAGGTAAACGTTTGCAATAATAATAACAGAATAGGTTTTGCTCGAGTCACCATTCTTGGCAAGCACACGTCCTCAGGAAACATCCGGACATCCGGACGTCCGGACGTCACGTAGAGAAAGACGAGAGTTACTATTAGTTACACACATAAACAAACACATAAACACACACATAAACATACGTGAGAGAAGAGAACGTTTCATTCGTTTAACATAATATCTATTTATCTATCAATCATAACAACACCGTTTTATAACATTCGAATTTATATATATATATGTATATATCAATTTCGTTACGAAATTAATATAAATAATATTAATAATAATTTTTAAAAAATTAAATTATAAAATACATTAAATAATTAAATTTATAATAAATTGAAATAATAATAATAATATTAAATTAAATCAAATAACATTTAAATAATATTAATAATAAGTTTTGTAAAATTAGTTAAAATTAAATAAATTAAATAATTAAATTGTTATAATAATTATAATAATTAAATGAATCACAATTTAGTTTATTAAATAATTTCATTTAATAATTTAATTTAAAAAAAAGTATATTCTTATATGTGTTAGATATCCTATCCTTAAACCACGTCCCGCGTTATCGATGTAAATATATTTTTAATTTTATTTTATTATTATTATTATTTTTTTTTTTTTCTATTTAAACGCTTAGCCGAGAAAACGTTCACGAAATGTTCACGCATCGATCGTTTTATCTCTCAGTTCGCTAAACGATTATCGATACGCGTCATAAAATGTAAAATATGAAATTTGCACGTAGCAAAGCTGCCTGACTGTGCTTTTCAATGGGCATTGATAAGTCGATAAATCGATCTATCGACTTCTACCGCGATTAATTCACGAAATCGTTCATGTGAGACACTTGAAAGACACGTACGAGAAATTTATCTTCTCACATTTCATTGATTATCTAAAGTAAGTTTTTACGAAAGAGTTTCTTCGTTACAAATAGAATTTAACTTTGTTTCGTTTAATTTTATTTACATTAATATTTCAAACGTAAATAAATATTGCAATTATTTTCTTAATACGTGGAATGCGGGTATACTTCATCGTCAAGTTACACGTGCAGCGGTCGTTTTTTCGTAAATCACGCAGGAGTTTGATCAAAAATTTCTTGTATCTTATTTGTTGCATCTTTATCAAATTATATATAACATATACATTGAAAAATGCACAATTCATCATATATATATAACTAAGTGATCTATCCACTTTACTGTATTTGTAATTATACGTTACCCATTATCCACCACAAATCTACTAAATACGTATTTTTACGAGACCCGCACTTCAGTGACAAACTGAGTAAAACGTAAAATTACGTCTTCCGCGTGCCAAGTGTTAATATTTTTATTATTTGACGTATAATACCAAATTTTAACGATTAATCAAATTATTCTTTATAATGAGAAAATATTATGTTAAATAATTTATTTAAAAATATTTTTATAAGCATATAGCGTGTGGATAAGAAACAAAAAAACAGTCTTTTACATTTAATTTAAAACAAAATAAATAAGCAAACGTTACGTGACCGATATAAATGTTTTCGTTAGAGAAGTAAAGAAAGTAAAAAAAAAAAAAAGTAAAACAAAGTAAGAGACAAATAAAATATACATTTGCGTGTTAGGCATATCTAAAACGGTAATCATAGTCTATTTATCTGCCATACTTGTTTGACTCGAGCGACAGTAACGTGTTTGATGTATCGTTTCCGGTATCCCTAATGCATCCATCGCGAGTTCACGATAATTTTATATACAAACCTAATACATATTATGTATTTATATTACTCGTTTATACCTTATATATATTGTTATTTATATATAAATTATATTATATAATATTATTGTATAATATTCAATATTACTTCACATATTATAATAATAATATTATATTAAGTAATATTATATTTTGTTGTATTTAATATTATACAATAATATTATAACAAGAATAAATTTAATATTATATAAATAAATATTATAATACAATATATTA